AAAAACCATACCAGAAAGAAGGCATCAGAAGTTTCTGTAAAGGTGACTTCCAGCAGCTCCTTCAAGAACAGTTCATGAGTGTCCACACAGAGCCCATAATACATTAATGTCATCATAGAGGTGGGAGGGAAGGATATTAGCCCAAGTTACTGATGTGATAAACTCCAAGAGTTGTACAGAGCTCCTATCATTTAGCAGGCAGATGTATCATGCCACACTAATTAGGGAGTATGATACTGCAGGCCTGGAGGACTGGGAAATCACTCCAAAAATAGAGCTAGCACTGGGCTTTCAAAGAGCAAGTGAAAGAACAGAGAATGACTTGATTTGAAATGTTTGCATTACAATCTTCAATTAGGATGAAGCGCTATCTTTATAAGTATATACTTATATATAAGTAATATTAAGTGTAACTTTATCTTTGCACTTAAGTTTTATTACATCGATTAAACTAAGCATTAAACACTTCGAAAAATTTAAAAATAAAAACTTAAAAATAAAAATTATATTAAATTATCTGCTTACTTAACCTGCTCTTCTCTCCTTTGGAACGGTCACATAGAAAACACAGTAGCAAAGGAAGAAACTTGGCCTTCAGGGCAAATATAGACCATCCTTGCTTTTCCAGTGCTGAGAATATTAACAGCATATTATATGGCAGCTGCTATTACATGAAGAAAAGAAAAGTGCTCAGTAGCACTCTGAAGCTAAGTACGTCGTAGACAAGAGAAGGGTCAGAAATAGAAAATTAGACGTTCGAGTTACTTGAGCAGAGAATGATGTAGTGCTGGGATACCATGAAATAGAACAGAGAAAAGTCCCACCCAGGCTTCCTGACGACACAAGAGTACGAAGGGACACAATCTGGGTGCAGTCTGCATTTCGTGCTACTCTATGACTTCATCTTGGCTTCACAAATATTGGAAAACCTCAACCTCAGGCCCACTCGAGAGAAGCTCCACGGATGCAAAGGGGCTGAACGGCAAACACAAGACAAGCTTTACCACACTCTCCTCCTCCTTTCTCTGAACCGGTAACCCTTCTCTGAAGAAGTCAAGCCAACCAGTGATGGATTTAAATCTCGGGCACCGTGTCGAACACTCGGGAGATGACGACAGCGTTAAGCTATGTAATAGTGCCATCTCGTGGTAGTGACACAGATGACGCTGGATCAATTGCGTTTTCAGGAGCACGCTGCAGCCATTGTGGCCATTAAAGACAACACATTAAACCAGATACCTCTTAATTCCTCCGTGTCGTTTAAGTTTTACGGTGCATGTTCACCATTAAGCCATCCCCAAGCACAAAAGAATCCCGTGATGATTTACAACTACAGGTCACAGCAGCTGGGAAACGCTAATCAGTAACAGTCAGCGTGATTGTAACTGGAACTGGGTCTCTGATGATGTTCAGGATTCTAAGAGGAATTTGAAAAATTGAAAATGTCTCTGAAAGGACAAGAAGAATGAATCGAGGTCAGAAAAATCTGCCTCTCAGAGTCAAAAAACAGTGCTGTTCACTGATGTCATGACAGGACCACAAGGTATCCATCCTCACGCTGAAAGTCTTTATAGTACCAGAGCCGTATCTCGGCATTAAACAGAAAAGCAAAATCCACCATAGGAGACTAAACCAAAATGAATTCAGACTAAAAAAATTGGGTGGACTTGTAAACACAAAACTTCAGAACAACTTGCCAAGTAACGTGGCAGACTTCCCACTGCCCAACATCTGAAAACCAAAACTGTCAAATCAAAACAATCTTTCTAAAAAATGGGTTGTTTCAATCAAAACCAATGATTTTTGATACAGCAACCACGCATGAAATTGTCTGGCTTACATTATGTGAAACATCATTGACAGATCAACATAATGAAATTTCTAGCCTTAAAATCCGTATGTTTACTTTTCTTGAGAGTGATTCAAATACTTTATTTAGTTGGCACACACTCACCCAGATCACTGCTAACACTAATGTTGTTGTCTAACATCTTACTTGTAGGGCAGACTTAAGTGTCTACACTTATAAGAACAATAGGTACAAATTTCCTTTCAGCAGGTCTGCCATCTCTCTTACACACGCACACACACTTACCTCCTTGTCTCCTAAGCAGAAACACCATCTTGTCAAGCCACAACCACCAGAATGTAGATTCAGAAAGAGATTAAATCCAGAGTTTTGAAAACTTAACTCCAAAAATTGGAATGCTCTTTCAAGCCTTTGCCAACTTTTCCAGCACTCTGAAACCATCCTACCCTTGAGTAAATGCAGAATTTTTTAAATAAGAGAACTTCCACTGTGAAGAAAAGATGTTTGTGCTGTTGGGTTGGGGTTTTTTCCTACTACATTCTATCAAGACAGTGAAGATACTGAATCTGTTTCTGCTTCAGACTCTTTTAGGAGTCTTGTGATCTCAGTAAGAAGTGCTTCAGACTGCCAAGAACGAGTTGCAGGTCCAAGCTTCTATATTAATCAGATACCTTAAAGCACTAATATTAAAAAAAAAAAACCAAACCAGAAAGAAAATCAATATTCAGACTAATTGTTCTGTAAGTCAGCATTTCTGAAATAATATGGAGCAAGCCTGTGTCTTCCTGCAACTTGTAGCCCAGGGGTTTAGTACTGTTAAGTGGAACCTCAGAACTCCTGGCTCTGGTTCTCTACTGGATATAGACAGTGGGCAAATGTCTGTATCCTCTTATTCTAATATTTCTACTCGATGTGTTTCATTTGCCAGACAGGGCAGATGAGCTGAATGTAGAACATGCCTAATTGTCACAAGTTTTGATGAGAAGGATGACGTGATCACTTTCTTTGGTTAGGAAGTATCAAGCCATTTGCCAACACTATCTCACCAAAGGCACCTTTGCTTACTTCTATAATATGCCCAGTTGCCATCATGAGCATTTTTGATGAAAAAGTGTTACTCAGAAAACAAAAAGCTAAACATAATCAAGGAAAACAATTCTTACACAGAGGAAAAGAGACAACTTTTCTGCGAGATCAGTCAGTAAAGTGGCTGTTAATGCAGCCGGTGGATCACTGGATAATAGAGAGGTGAAACAGAAATTCAGTTTGGAGATATTGAAAAATCACTGGTTTTCCTCTGACTCAAAGCGTCTCTAGGCATAGACTTAATTTAAACAAATTGGGTGTCTGCCCATTCCACACACAGTACCTTATCCATCCTCTTCATTCTAACATAAATTCATACAGAGTTTCCTGGGGTTGTCTTAGATAAAATTTTGCAGAAAGACTTAAATCAGATTGAACTTCTTAATAGTCCCCACTTGCCGGAACAACTCCAGTTTACCTTACCTTGACAACTGCAATATAGGCTGTTAAGTGCAAACTAGACACAAGGCTAGTTTGCTATGCTACTGCGACTCCAGAATCAGCGTTCATGAGAAGAGATATAATCCTTCTCTGTCATACTTAGGAGCAACTGGTATTGCAACTCTTCACAAACATTGTATTTAACAACAAAAAAAAAAGTATGTATTTAACCATACATTAAGTAAGAATGTAGGCTGCTGCACAGGAGGACATACGGTTTCTAGCAGTATTTATAGCACGCCCTTTGCGACTTGATGAATCAACAACCTGAAGACCAATTGATTATAAAGTTAGTCCTAAATGCATTCTCTTTGAGACAAGAGAACCATAGCAACATGATTAAGGCTGGCACACAATTCAGTGTTTTAATTCTCTTGGCAAAAACTTCTAAGTTCCAATTATAGCTTCTTTTTTTTTTTTTTTAAAGAGATGCCTAGAAAGGTCTGATTTTGATATGTCTCAGGCATATGGTTTACTGAGCAGCTCAACAGGGGAGGAGTTACTTGGATACATGAATAAATGCTACCTTAAATCACGACCTTCAACAAACAAGAAGGTGACAGGGCTACATATGTGCAATTATGCTGCACAGGGGGAAAATATACACAACGCTACAGTGTACCTACAATGCCTGCCTACAGAACTGTCTCCCTGGAAATGCTGGATTAGTTTCTGGAAAGAAATAGCTACCTCTCCTCGTTCCAAGGCTTCCATTAAAGAATTGCAGGCTGCTAGATCTATTGAGGTCCATCAAGACTTTACTGCTGTTCACTACTGAGCTGATGTCTTTGCAAAGCCTTCTCTGCCACTGGACTAAACATCTGATCCTTAATAGTTTCACCTGTAATAATTAACACAACATTCAAGCTTTAGAAATTAGTCACCAAAAAAAAAAATTCTAATACAGAAGCAGCTTGTAGAGAAAGAACAAAATTTCTTTACCAAGCCATAATATAAGTAATCTAGAGAAATATGCTTTAATTCCAAGTTAATTAAATGCAAAACATTAGGAAAAAGCTTACAGGAAATAAAATATGCAATATGTAATCTACACAAAGTTCTACATCCTGAATGCACGCATAGCATGATCACAGTGTCTGAATTCAAAGGCAGCTTAAGGCCTGTAGCTTGCTCACTCTTCTTCTCTGTACCAAACTTTTTCTGCATTAATGGAGTTTGTATGCCATCCTGTCCACCACAGGGTTTGCGGTAGACTTTTCTGCTAGAAAAGCTCAAATGAAAGCAATTCAAGATCAGTTGTTCTCTTTGAAAGGAAGGCTACAGCTGCCATTCTGATACCAGCGTGTGTTGCGGTGTCTCTCTTCCATAATGCAGGATGTGGTTTCCATAGAAATATTTTCTTACATCAGTATCTACAAGCCCTCCAAGTATTCCCTTTTGGATGTCTCATGCAATCCAATAAAATCTTTTCAGCGCAAGGAAATAACTAGGCTTAAATACTACTTAATTACTTGATGAGCAGAAAAAGACAATTAGCAAACAAAAGCTTTATTTACAACAAAATACAAGAGGGAGAACATGTCTCTTGCAAAAAAAAAAAAAGTATCTTACCTGAAGACATCTCTTCAGCATTACAAATTACGAACAGTCAATTACAATTTTTAAGACCACACTGAGATTTTGCTGATTTTTGAAAGTGTAATTATGGTATAATTCTGAATTGTTTGGTGGCCTTGTCTCCAACTGAGCCCCCAGGGCCTGCTTTTTCTGAATCCTTTGCATTGCTGAGCATTTCCTGCACCTTATTGTAGGTCCTCTTGTTCATGACCCTGTGAATTTAGAGTCCCTGCTGCTGTTGTGTCATCTTTTTTTTCTGTGGCATCTCTTGCCACTTTCCCAACACCAGGAATGTATTCAACACCCTGAAAGTAGAACCAAGACAGAGAGAACACCAAATTACACACAAACAACACCAACAGTGACTTGATCCTAATACAAAACGCCTCTGTCAACCAAGGCCACAGTACGCAAGGCAAGAAACTTAGCTGCACTGTAGAACAGCTTCATTCCTAGAGTTCCCAGAAGTGTCAGCATAAAGAAAACTGGGAGTACACGGAGCCTTGATCTGGCTGGGTGGGCTCCGAAGCCATGACCACAGCGCATAAAGCAAGAGCGTGCACCACAGAGGCCAGAGCTGTCATAGTTCCCCCAGGAGAGCCATGTCTGAAGAAAACAAACTGATTTAATTGTTGTGTGGCAACGAAAATGTGCTGGGGAAACAACTCCTACAGCTCTTTTGTTTTGCTTCCAATCGTCTCTCCTTTTTCTTTACTACTCGAAAAAGTTTCATTACTGTGATTTGTTTTCTCAGATACATGTTCCCCTAACTAGGTTCAGACTTCACTCAAACCTCTCAGCCTGTTTTAGGCCTCCATCCTGCAAAAACCTAAGCACAGTCAGATCGGCAGCTCAGTAGTGGGATAAAAAAATTAGGACTGTAAAGAGCTTGGCTTACTCATTCCAAACGTGCCACGCTCAAGCCCCTGTATAGACACAGGAAGAATCACAGTTCAGTTCAGAAAGTCACTGCAGATGCAAACCTTGGAATTCGCTGCATGCCAGCTTGGTTACAGTTCCCTTATCTCAGTAAGGATCAAAATAAAACATTTAGCAAAAACTATCCTGTACTCTTTAGCCTCTCCAACTACTACAGCTATATAAATCGGCTACATGAATCAACTATATGTGTGTGTGTGTATCTTATACAGCTACGATTAGCTATATAAACCTACGGGTCAGCAGTAAAAAACACCTATACTTGTCTGTGATGGTCCCTCATACTTAAACCTCACGACTTCACTAAAAAGTGAAAAGGCCACCAATGAAAAAGTAAGTCATAAAATAGCAAATTGGTCACTGTACCTTACTCATCTGGTCCATATCTGATTGCCTGGGTTTACTGGTTTAAAAGCCCGCTTCAGCCTCTAGAGAAATGGGGAGAATAGTTTTGCCCCAGAAGGAGATTAAAAAGGAAAAAATGTTAGCAGATTTCCATGGTAATTGTCATTTAAAAAACACACCAGAAAAGCCACCTGAATGCTACCTTCAAGCCCTTTTGCCTTGCTTTTGTTAATTAACCAAACCAGGGTACCCAATGACATTACCACAAAAGACTAAGGTGAACAACTATACTGGAACGAAAATGTCTCTGGGTCTTTCTTAGCTTGAAAGTTCTGCTAAATAGATAATCCATTTATCTCTTACATCAAGAAAACCATATCCCTTCCTCCCTTTCAGAAAATGCAGACACTTCGATCAATTCAGATAAAGGATTATAAGCAATCACTTGAAATTGATTTTAATTCTTGCTCAGTCTACTTATTTCTTGCATTAGCTTTATACTTACATGCTTCATATATATTACTGAGCACTTCAAAACAGCTCAATTCACTGCCTGGTAGATTTAGCAACTAGGAACAAATCATGTTAAATGATTTCTGTTCCTCCAATCAGCCCCAGAAGAGAAATGTCACTATGTTCCTGTTACTGAGACTATTTGCTGTAAATAAATCTCTCAATTTTCCAAACAGTAAGAATTAATTCGGTATGAATGATTGCAGCTATGTACAACAACATGCTAAAGAGCTTTATTTTTATAGATACACGTATACATGCAAACAGAAAATATACGTGTGTATATGTATGTCTAAGTACCTGTGTACATCCAAACTGAAGTACCAGCTGCAGTTTATCTGCACTGCCACTAGATGCAGCCACATAACCTTGCAAAATTTAAAATTCTGACCTCAGGGTTATAGAAACCTTTTTTGGAATACCTATGATTGCAGAATCCTTACAACAACATTAATAGCATTTAATTCTGAGTACTGGGGAAAAACAAATGCAACATGAGCAGAATTCTCAATTTTTCTTCTCAATAATCTTGTTCTAAAACATAGGATTGCAAATGTCAACGGGGATCTAAGAAATCAGAGCAGAATAAGACTTGTCTACGCTCATGGCTGTTGCCATAGATCCAGATTGGAACTGACAATATTGAATTACAGTGTTTTGCTCTCCACACAACAGAGCAAGTAAGAATGAAGCACTGTGCTCCCAAGCGAGACCCTAAAGGTCTAACTGTGCACGTATGGAACAGGTAAGCGTACAACTCCAGCGGTTTCCATTCTATGCCACTTCGTTTTCCTCTCTGTGTCCCTATACCACAACTCTGGAAACACAAACTTCTCTTTACGTGTATGGGAAGAAGCACACTAGGTCAGATGATAAAGGATTCCTGCACTCAGAAAATGTTTCTGCTTTATCTACTATTAACAGATAGCATGAAACCCTGGAAAATTCTCCTGTTATTTCCTTACCAGCTATCAGACTGAGCGATGCAGGAGTAATGCATCCCCCAGTTTCAGCAGGTGTTATCTGTCCTGTGCTGTCCCTTGGTATTTCCCTGGGTGCACAATATGCACAGTACTGGGATAATACCAGCACAAGAAGCACACAAGTAGACTCCATATGAAAACCAGATACAATAAATGCATTACACACTGTTTTAAAATACTGTTTTTATAGTGAGTTGATTTTCCACTGAAGATGGATGAAATAAAGCCTGTTCAGTGCATTCAGTGTAAAGGAAAGTGATGCCCAGTGAGCTGTGCACCAGAGTGAATATAATTTCCAAAGCAGATTTTTATTATATATTTTAGTGCCAAATTCACTTGCTTCTGCTCCCTTCCACTATAAAGATCACATTGCAATTCACAATTCCTATAAATATATATAACCCTTCCTATTTCTGCTTTATACTTTCCCTCCCCTTCCTCTTTTTGTAGATATGAGATATCTCATTTATGTGCAGAACTGGCCAAGGCAGTTCCCAGGCCTCGTGTATTTTTTACTGACAGCCACTCTGGTGGAATTATATTTACCCATGTTTTGGGTCATTTCTCTTTGTTTGTTTGTTTTAGTAGAAGACAACAAAAAGAAGAAAGAAAAAAGAAAGTACACTCTCCTCCAGGACCTGCTTTCTGTTTGCTGATCTGATCATAGTTCTCTTCAATTGCCATTAATAAACTGAACTTAGCAAGATGGATTAAAGGAAAGAGCAACATCAGTTTTTGTTGGTTTAAAACATGAGGAACATAAATATAATGGCTTCAGAGGAACCTAGCCCAGGGCAAAATTCTGACTGAACTCTCCTGTGGGCTGCTGCAGACAAGATGAATCGCAATGTCTCAACTGAAGGTCCCCAAGACAGTACAAAGCAGGATAGATGTGGGAAGGCATGGGAGCAATTTGCTCTGCAGCACTCCTTGCTGCACTTCCAGAAAGAGACAATGTGTGCCCCTCGTTTGGAACCTAATGCTTATCACAGCTTGTGTGTGTGCAGCAGAGGGGCCTGTCTGGAGCTCCAAGCCAGTTGAACAGGTTACATCAATAAGATCCCCATATGAACTGTCAAAAGGTTTTCCTACTCTCTCTATCTTTTATGAGGTAGGCAGAAAACCGTCCCAGCAAGGACTTACCCTGTAAGAGAATACTTTGATTCTTCCAAAAGCCGTAATGAAAATGTTTTTTTCCATCCAAGAGTGGTATTGGCAGCAAATTGAAGGTAGTTAAACACATTGCCCATTGGCCACACAAATTTCTTCTTTGTAATCATTTCAGAGAAACAAACCCTTCTCTATAACCCACACAATATGTTGTGCAACAGGAGTGTCTTGGGCTAACTTCTACCCTGCTGTAAGTGCCCTGCAACGGTAGTTACAGCCACTTTATGCCAAGACGGTGCTTTGTTCAGTATCTCTCAGATGATCGGCAGTTCAATTTCATTACCTCATCATTCCTAAGAATCGTCCTGTTTACTGGGAAAAGCCCAGTGAACTGGACTGCACACTCAGTAGTTTCTCCATTTGCAAACAACAGCGAAACCACCAATCTACTATCACTACCTAACCCTTGATTTTATTTCTTATCTTTATATAACTAACATGGCCAAGTTCACAGCATTTATTTTAACTCACTTCCTGAAGGGGATGACTCCATCTGAATTTTTAACCAGATATTCACTCGCTGGCTCCAATCTCCCGGTGCTTCCACCTCCCACAGTCGCTTCTGCTCATCAGGGTAAGTCTGCAAGTATTTCTGGCAAACTGAATAAGAGAAATCAAGGGGTAAAAGCATGAATGAATGAAAAGTACAGTAGAAGAGGGAGTGTATTCTATCCTGGAAATTCTATCAGACCTACTTTCATTAGTTCCTTCAGAAATCTTTTCTTCTCTCTGCTCATCTTCATTTTTTTTCTTTTAGTTGGGGCTTTTAGGAAAAGTCTAAGTGGAATGACCTAAACAGGCATGAGTGAATTCTGTCCATTTGCTTCAGCCTAGACTACTTCCTTGTAAGCGCAGAAATACAGGACTTGAAAAGATTTAGTGAGCCACCTTCTTCTGGCACTGCACCACAGAACGACCTCCAGACACTTCGCAGATTTTAGACTAACAGCAGTGCGGGTTTTTTCACCCTCACTACTCTGAAATGAAAGGTGTTTCAGTATCTTCCAGCTTTAACCATTAAGAATGCTGCTCAAATTTCTGCTTATAAATAAAAGCTTTGTATTGTTTTGCTCTCGGGCCATCGTATTTCTGTTACCCTATACTCTGTTGCTGGGCTTCATTTACTTCTTTGGATGTGGAAAACAGGAAATAGGAAGAACTAACAGAGGAATAACAGGAGTATCGGTGTCGGATGTAGAATCAGTTTAGAAACCACATTCACACAGACTCCTTTCGCTGTCAATACACACTGAACGTTAAAGTAATTCAGATAAACTATCAAATTTAGGTTTGCTTACGTTATCAAACTGAAATCTGTCTTATTCAGAGGTTTATTGAGGATGTCTGTGGAGCCAAGATGAGGTATATGTTATAGGACAAACAGTTAAAATTTAATGGGGATCTTTAAGCTTTCCTTAACCATGGCTCTATGAGACCCATTAACTGTAGTAAGACAGCAACCTGTAAACAACAAAAGTATTTTCAGGCTCTCCTCTGTCCATTCTGGTTCATCATACTACAGAATAAATTTAGATGGGTCACTGACCTTCAACATTCAGTTGAGTTTAACATTGGGATGCTGAAACAAAACCCTTAATTCTGGTATGTAAACGTTTGCCTCACTGTAATGAGCAGATTGCTGTCATTAATTGTATCCAAGGATATCCAAACTAAATTAATTATTTCAATAAAAGCTACTGAAAGTAACATATATACCAAAATAGATATATAAGATAAATGGCTTTTTATTTCCTTTTAGCCCTCTACAGCACATTAAATAACATGCTAGTGAAAACTGTGCACATTTAGTCCGGAGATTTAGAGTAAAAGGTTGCATTCCTTTGTCGAAGTATGAGATTGTGGTTCCAAGGAAATTTTAAAAAGGCAGTGACATCAATACACTCAAAATTTAACTTATAGTATTAGGGTTTTTATAAAAGTAGAATCTAGAAAATCTAATTAGAACATGGTACAAGTCAAATTTATTCACTACTAGCTCTAATCTTTATTGAGATGAACGCATAGTTTTGCGATGTATCACCAGCATTAACAAAATCAGCTTTCTGATCCAGTGTCTAAACCATTGATGTTTACGTCTAAGCCATAGGAAAATGGATATTACTAGGAGAAGAGAAAGAATGTTGTCAATACTATTCTTTCTTGTATTAGAAGTAGCAATAGCTTAGAAACTCCTGGGGCACATTTGCATACATCAATGACACATACTGACCAAGAGAAAGAATAGATACAGTCAAAATTTTGTTGACACTTGTTAGGAAATGGCTGTAAAGTCATAAGTCAATAGAAACTTAACAAAAAAAAAAAAAAAAGGACGGTAAAGACCATATACCATACTGAGAGCAACTTTGGGAAAAAAAATGTTTTTCTAAAGAAAACAGTTTTACAAATAATGTGAGCACAGATATTTTCTGTAAATTTTACCAGCAAAACCAGAATTTCAGCCTGACCACAGGGAAGGTATACAAGTACTTAATGATCTTTTATAAGTGCCAAATGTTCAAAACAGTCAATATGAAACAAGTATGGACGTGACTGGGTGAATGAACAGAGTCCAGGTATATGGCTTAATAAATCTAATTTCTTTAAAATGCAGTATCTACAAGAGCTTTATGTCCATAGTGTAGGCTAGAAAGCATCTTATGAGCCTTTTCCCTATGGTGTCAAATAAAAGAGGTAAGTCACTGTGCGGGGCAATGACACCGTTCTGTTTCTAAGAGAGAGCGAGACGAGAACGCAAAATGTCCAACAGGCAGTATGAGTTTTATGCTTCTCATTGTCTTACATAAATATTGGCCTACCTTTCTACAGGAAATTCCAGATGTTTCAAGAAAAGTAACCAGCTGCATGCTAACAACAGTTCAGTTCAGACAAGTGCATTGAACTCTTATACAGTTAAGAAAATCCTACCAAGACCATATTGAAATTTATACATTATACATGACCCTTACCTAACACTTCAACATCAAACGATTTACCTCGACACATGGCAGCAGAAATAGGGCAGCTGATCCCCAAGGCATCCTCAGCCATGAAAGACTGACAGAAATCATGCAGCATTTTCATCCCTAGGCCACCTCTTCTGTACTTTCTCCGGACAAATATAGTATCCAAAACCGGTAGCAAGTAACATTGACTGGTTGTACCATCACATAGGCTTCCTGAAAGCAGAGAGGAAAAAACAGAAGAATTTGAAAACAAAATTGGTATTGCTGCACTAATCAACTGCTATGTGATTCTAGCCACAAATACTGCCCTGATGCCTTTCCACAGGTTACGAGGATGACCCCAACTGAAGTACATTTGCATAGACAGTAATCCCAGGAGGAAGATTTGTGCCATCAACTGAGAAGACCTGTTTAATGTGGTTGACAGGTCTTACCACAGTATCTTCCAGACTCTGATTTTTCATAACCGGACCATCTGGGTACAGAGGCAACATACATAGGAAAGTTCACTGAAAAGATATAACTAGGCTATAGCCAAAGAGGCATAAATATTCTGCATGTAATCTCGGTATATTCCTTTAGCTTTTGGCTATTCTAGTAAATCACCCCACATACTCTTTTTATGAGATACACTAAACCACACACCACAGTATGATCCAAACACTCAGAAGGTCAATATGGCCAGACACAGATGGACAGTGGAGCAAGATTCCAGAGAGAACTCCCAATACTGTTTAAGCTAACAGTTTTGTAATGACTGCAGGGAGAGAAGAGAGGCTCTCTTGGCCTCTGCATACACTGCTGTTGTGCCTCAGCAAATGATATGATAATACTCTGAAGTATGAAATGACTGGCTCCATCATTTACACCTCTCCTTTCTGACTTTTACTGGTCAGAAAGTTATACAACCATTCTACTGCATATTCAGTCTTTGATCTCCTAGTTCAGTAAATTCCCTAGATGACTGTACAAAAGAATATTGCTCTCTTTCAGTTGCTGTTACCTGTCAACACATACCCAGGAGTCATCTTCAAACCTTCGTTGGTAAGAGAACCACACAAAAAGTAAGTGTTGGGGTTGCTCCACCTGAAACTGGAAACAGATCCCTAACTGCTCACACGTGCAGTGACTCTGGGCCAGAGGGAGGGAAGTGCACCACTCGCCTCCTTCAGAAAACAGAGCAGAAGCCGGCAGCCCCAACAACCCAGCGCGTAACAGGGAGGCAGATGAATTTCTAAAGAGGAAGAGCTGTGTCTGAGAAAGCACCGAGCAGAATCCAAGCAATAGCTAAACTCATGGTAGCAGCTTAGGTTCAACCTTACACTGCAGCACACAACAGTCACACCTGTGTAGGAAGATGAGTGTAGACATTAATTAAGGCGCTTGGGTATAAAGCCATAAACAACTGAGTGGTGCATTTTAAGAAAGTACCGTAAGTGCTCCTTTTGTGAGCCACTCGATTTCTTCTGAGTGGTAATTTATCTTCCATGTATGTGCTTCTAGACCACCTCTTGAACTACTACTATCAGTGTTAAACTAGGGTTTTCACTCAAGGACGGTCCTTGCTAATAAACACATTAAATCAGCCACTTGAAATCATGGGGACACGACATGATGCTCTACATGCGGACAAAATACAGACACAAGTATAAACTATTAAAACTCAATTCTCAGTGAAAACTGCCAAAAAAAATTAGAATCAAGGGATATTTTGCAATCATGTATGGTAAACTCAAACTGGTGCCAAGAGAAAGTTGGTTGAGAACAGACATTCAGGGTCCAAAATTTTAACATTCCCCGTAACCATCATAGGGTTCCATTGCAGAAGGTACATCAGCAATTCACTGTACAAATTCCATACAGTGCAGAATATCACAAAAATAGAACTTCAAACTACCTGACAGCATAAGCATTCGACCCTGAAATGAATGACCAACATCAGTTCATCAAATACCTACATATAGGATACGGTCACCATAGAAACACCTCACTGATTTCATTTCATTTGTAGAGAATATTTACAAAAATTTTACGCTGCTTCTATCTAGGCACATGACAGCATAAATAGAAATGGATATCCAGGCCTTTATAACAGAAAAACATTATGCTTTCTTAATTTGTTGCTTAAATTTCATCAAGGCCTTCTTGGTTTTTGTTCTTATCACTAACTAGTGTACCACTCAGTCTAGTTTTCAGTGTCTTGAGACACGAAACTTTCATCACTTCACTAAGACCTGTTTCACAGATCTCCTATTGAATGGCCGTTCCTAAATTCCAGTGTAAGACTCTTACTTAACAGATCCATTTTTCATCACATCCTTATAGCTATCTTAAACTGAGGTCTACTTCTCTTCCTTGAGCTGGTGTCTAGTACTTTTTGCCAATAGCGGCCAGGCCTGACTCGGATTATTCTCTCTTCTAGGACACCAATTCAGTAAAGCACGTGTGACTATATTTAATTCTAAATCCTGATTTGCCAAGGCTGTAGCTCTCCATTTCACAAGAATCCACGTCACATACTCAGCCATACAGCAACAGTATGTAGCTACATAACCAATCCATTCACATCCAGGCTTGGTCCACCCCTGCTTAATCAAAGCGCGTGCTTAACTTCAAACACATGTTGAAGCACATGGTTGGAAAAGGATGGTTTGTGGTGGTGTTTATAGCCTTTCAATATTTGTAACACATGATGGGTAATTACTCTTTTTTCATAAGCCAAAAAATTGAGTATACCCCCAGTCCCATTGTTAGCTGCTGGCCCAACAGAGATGTTGGATTCCGGCAGTGTTGCACCATACGTTCTAAGAAAGGGACAAACTTTTCCTCATCAAGCCAATAGCTTTAAAAATTCCTGCATGTTGCAAGTGTCCTTATAAGTCTGTTATTATCTCATATAGTCTGTATCCTATAAATCCTGACGAGACTGCTGTGCAACAGTCCCAGAAGCTGAGTGATTTATGTCTGTGCTCCTAATTTTGTGTTGAGAAGATGACAAAAACTTTGGAATGTCTAAAGGCAGTAAATAAAAAAAACATGAAGCCATTCTTCACCTTGTCTCTCAGAAACATATTAGAAGAGTCATAGCCCACAGCCATGTGAAATAAAATAAACAAACAAACCAACCTTTGGAAAAAAGGCCACTTTGTCTCTAGTTCCCATCCAACAGCAAAGAGGTTACCGTAAGCTAATGGTGGCCCAGAGGTGACCACTAGGCTCTCACACATTTGGTTCAGAGGTTTGTTTCGTTGTTGAAACACACAAACAGGCTAAGTTTTGAGGTGAGGGAGGAGACAGGAAAAATAAGGGCATTGGCAATGGAGATGGCAGTATTCATACAGTCTGCCCTTTGAAAGCCTTTGATCTGCTTGGTTAGGTCATGAGTGCCAAATGACCAACTTATGAGCCAGCAAAATGGTAAACAGATATTACAAGGGCAGGAAAGCAGACAGCCATTAGCATTCCCAAAGAGCCACAAACCAGAAAAAAAAACAATCCAGTCGCCACATCCAACAGACCCAAACAAAACAAGGTTGTGCATACTGAC